CCTAGATTTGTCTAGTTTCAACCTTCTATGACTTACATACACAAGAACATAGTTAATACTAACCAGTCCTCTCTATTAACTATGGCTAGAATTTCAATWATTTATACTTTTAAGGATACAAAAAAGAGAATAATTTGATGATGTTTGCATGTTCCATACAATCCAGCAAGAGCAACAAGTAGTATAAACACTCCACAGGTTATTRTTCCTCCAACAATAGGCCAACTAGTAAAAAYTGAACTGAGCTTGGAATAAACAGGAACCGTTACTAGTACAAGCCCTACCACCTACAGGAAAAGAACATCATTGKTTGCTGGTATAATTATTGATATTTGAATCTTTAGTTATGAAATATGAAATGTCTTTGCATGTGTTTGTTCATTAATGAAGAACCCAGTGGGAAAAAGAGACCACACGAGAAGCCTAGGAATATGAGAGTAGCAAGTGTTTCTCTTGCTTCAAGTGCTCTCCATTTCCCATCCAACAACAGAGACACAAGCAGATGTGTTATCTATTTTTTAGGATTTTTTCTTTTCTTTTCTTTATGGAGAGCAAACCATGCCTTTGTTTTGTTAGATAAACACGTTCATTAGCCAATTATAGTGCGCGTTATATAACATGCAAATCTTACAGCGTAACATAAAGCACCATAAAACTAGTCACGCAATTATTTTAACAGGTTAACAGTCTTGTGACTAGCACATCACACAGAGTATCGAAAGACAAAAAGTCTAAAAAGTAAAATACAGACAGTTTAAAATGGTCTTAACTTGAGTTAGATTAAGCTTAATAAGCTTAACTTTTCAAACTGGAAACTGCAGCAAATAAAATCAAATGAGCTCAAGCATTTTGAAATTTATCAATAGCAAACTACGAAATGACTTTCGAGATCATTTCCTTTATACTTAAAACAAATTATAWTTGATCCTGAGCATGATTCAAACAAAGTGGGAAAAGAAAGAGGCTGATGAGCAAAATGCAAAATATAAGCTCGGCTTTTCGAACTCTCWTTAAGCTTACCAAATACATGACGTTCAAAGCAACTAGAGCTTGTTTGTAACAGTTGAATGCCAAACGCGATGGTGTCCCAGCCATCTTTTTGATGTACAAATACCATTAAATTTTGGTCATCTAATTCAAACACATGATATTTTTGAGGGATTTGAAGGCCGCAATATATTTCTAGTTGTGCGTTAAGTACAACATGGCCACCTTTTGATAACGTGACATCATCGCAGTCAATAACAGCCAATCAAAATGGGGTTTGTATCAGAGTTGAATTAGCGAATCACAAAAGAGAATAGATTATGTGGTCAGGTAAAAGTCATGAAATAATAAAAACATTGTTGATTACGATCTCTTCTAACGTTTATAAATCTAAAGTATAACATAAAAATAAAGGAGATTCTTTATCAGCATTTATTTTTGCTGTTTTTGCTTTTTATAGTTGATCTTTCAGTTTGTAGATATGTCAAAGTTTAATCAATAAAAATTCGGAAAAAAATCATTGCCTTTAATCCTCAAAAAGCATTATCATGTTAACATCGAAAAGAAAAAAAATAGATTGATTCAATAAATTGTCCCCTGCCTGCTCTCTTTAGGGACCCTCTACACTACAGAGCGTTAGTTTGTGCGACCGAAAGACCGAGAATTGAAGCGAAAACTACTGTGGAATCTGTCTAGAAGCAAAACTATTTACAGTGAAAAGCAACCAATGAAAAGCTCTGTTATTTTGCTACAGGTATTTTGATATTTATTCTTCACTAGCCAATCATAGTCAAGGTTTTATTTGTCGAGTGATTAACCAATCAGAAGTGTGCGCACTTTCCCGTATAAACACAAAACCAACTTCGTTTCGGAATCAGAAGCAAAGATATTTTTAATTTCTCATGTCTGACTGATGCCTGTTCTGATCAAAACGCACTGTAAGGGCATTGTCTAATTCCTAGCCCCCAACATAAAGCGAGGTAAGTCGATTCTTGATAAATTTTGGGATTTTTTTTCAAACGCTTGAACTTAACCCGAGCAAACTGCATCCAGAAATCACACTACTCCTCGCCGATTGAGTTCCGGTATAAATGTGGAAGTTMGGCTTATAATTGGCTGGCGACTATTTCGTCAACTCAGTGTCTAGAGTCTTTTGTTTTTTACTTCTTAAGGTAAAGATTATATRCAATAAGGATATTTTACTGCGCTTGAGGATTTCGATTCAGCGCGACTTGGTGACTTTTATGTGAAGGAGGCCGAGGCGCGCGCGAGGACCCTCACTAGCTTTACGTAGTGTTTTTCATTGTTTCGCTTTATTCCTTGACCCAAGTTTTCTTTCGATTATCTACTGATATRTATCGATAGTACTTCGATTCAGCTTGAGTCTTACTGTTCTGAAATGACAAAAACAGTGAAATGAAACGTTTTTTATTGTTTTATGTGTGATTTGCTGGGGACCTCTAACGTYCGTTCAGTCACGCGTTGCATCGAGTAGCGAACTGGTTCAACGCCGCCTGAAAATCTTTTCGCACCGTCTTCTGTCCGCTCACGTTAAAGYCCAGCAAGGYTTAAGAATTATAACTTTTGAACTTCAAGAATAGGCTTATTRGACAACGGGTCTCAACCAGTTTGTGGTGTTTTTATTCAGAGAATCCGAAAAGCCCGTTTAACAAAGGATTCAGATCCGTTCTGGTAATAAATTATTGGTAAGTGCGATTTGTTAATTATTCCTCAACATTCCCTTACTCCTGGCGTTACGATGTCATGAATGAATACTCTCTAAGGCCGTACTTTAGGATCAATTATGTTTTCAACGAAAGAAAAAGTTGCGATATTTTTTTTGTCTACAGTACTATTGGGCACAGCTTTAATAATAATCAGGGGTGGTTCAATACTGTTACATTCATTGTCTGCACTGTGCCAWTCATGTTAACCTTTTTGACATGCATACTAAAACTTAAAGATCACAAAACAGTACAATAATTTCAAAACCATTTCCATAGAATTTGTATTTTTTTATAGCTGTATTCCTGACAATATTCTTTTTCCAAATGACAAAATTAGAATTTAAATTAATAATAAATTGATACTTTGATGATAGACTACCCCCTTACTATACTAGCCTTTACGAGCAGATATTTTAACGTTTTGGCATATAGGAAGTCAATTGATGATAGCTGATTTATCTGTTCATTAATATGTTACATTGTTGACGTTGTTGATATCATCAAAAAAGGACTTGTGCTTAAAGGAGACTTCCACTTAGCCAAAAAAAATTGATTAAAATTCATTTTTGATTGTCAATTAGATAATTATGATTTTATATAAGTTGACTTGATCATGATGTTTGTAGTGTGAGATATTATTTGGTGTTATTTTTGTTTATGTGGAGAAATCTGGCSCCACTTGTGCTCTGAGAAAAGCTTTGGAAAACAATGATGCTAACAGGACTGGATACAGATTTGAGCCAGTCAGGTGCTTACAGGACTGGATACAGAATTGAGCTAGTCAGGGGAAAACTTTGCCTGCCCCACTCAAGCACGCTAAATAAAAAGCTTTGAAAGAATGCTGGCATGAATGCCTATGTGCTCAATTTGGTTACTGGTGTTATTGTCAATTTTCTGGCTATTAATTTGGACTTTGACTATATATCATTGAATGTTTTAATATGCCTGAGTTTGGTCAGGGCATATGGAAAAATATTTGACTTTAGATCATTTTTATGCAATGCAAGTATTTAAAGTCTGATGCAGTTATCGTGTCTACATGGAATGTAAAAAAAACTTGGTCTCTGTTTTTCCTCATAATAGAGCTGATAGKTACTTATTTATCATTATTCATCCTTTCTTATGTATAATGTAAAAGTATGCATTTTAGTCATTAGAAAACTGATGGATTTTAGTATCACTGAACCTGATGTCTTTTGATGTATAAGATTTTTTACATTAACATGTATATTCTCATTGACTAATTTATGTACATTGTACAAATGCATCTGATATTTATCTTTTTTTTTTTCAATAGTAAAGCTGGCTGAAGCAGTTTGTTCACAGACCWCTGCTAGAATGTCATCTACGCCAGTTGCTGAAAACTGGTGCTATACACAGATCAAAGTCATCAAATTCTCATATATGTGGACAATAAATAATTTCAGCTTTTGCCGAGAGGAAATGGGAGAAACTTTGAAAAGTTCTACATTTTCAGCGGGAGCCAATGATAAAATGAAATGGTACTTTTATTTTATTTCAATTGGTACTCTAACTGTTAAGTGTTTACAGTTGTTTGAAAAGAACTGTAAGCACATTCTTTGTAAGATATGTCTGGAATGTTAAGAGTATTTTGTGACTTTAATTCATTGGTGAAAACAAGATGTTAACAGGTGAAGTGTATTGGCCTTACATGGCCTGTATGAGATTATTCACATCACTACACACATTCATATAGTAAAGGTGCTCACGGTTCTTTTTAAATGATCGTAAGCATTATCAAACCAGTATTAGCGAGCAATGGTACATTGTAATGTTTTTACTGTTATTCTAGGTGTTTACGTGTCAATCCAAGAGGTCTGGATGAAGAAAGCAAGGACTATCTCTCACTATACTTACTTTTATTATTATGTAACAAAAGTGAAGTCAGAGCGAAGTTTAAGTTTTCTATTTTAAATGCAAACAGAGAGGARACTAAGGCAATGGGTAAGATAGCATGCTATTATAATGCAGGAGCTCATACTAGAAGCATAAAACTCATGTATGYAGCTTTGAAGTCATTGTGCTCACAAACTTGTGACTCTGGTTGTRACTCAATATGGATGAATATGAACTCAACATTATGAATATGTAGATAGACTGGTCTGTGAAGACGATGCAGTACCTCAATCAATCAATCAACTGTTCCCCCATATTTGGCTGTCATTCTACTAGAATGATGTTCAACCATTGCTAGTTAAAAAAGACTGTTTTCCATGCGCCTAAAACATGCTTTCAGTTTGACTTTGGTCGTGATCGTTCAATCGTAAGCTGTGCATGGTGTATGGCAATAATGCCATTTTCTGTAGAAAGCATTATGGGAATCCTTGCACAATGAAAGTTGGGTGGTAACTTTAAGGTTTACTTTTGTTGTAACAAATCTTGTTTTTCCTCTACAGAAAGCCAAAGAGCTTATCGGTTTGTACAAGGCAAGGATTGGGGATTTAAAAAGTTTATTAGAAGGGATTTCTTAATGGATGAAGCGAATGGTTTACTGCCAAATGATACGTTGACACTCTTCTGTGAGGTAGGTTATGTTTGTTATCTTTACCAGATGTGAAAGAACTGAGGTTGTGTTCTTCTTTCCTTTGCTCGGATTTCTTTTSAACTTTTACTTTCTCATCTTGTTTCATTTCGTTTTCCCTCTCATCCCATTCCATACTGTACTGAAATTCAATGTGTTTTTAATGTAAGTCAGCTTGTATAGAGAAGCTAAAWWWKGSAAAATGAAGAAGTGGAAATKTTGGTTAAACTGAGAACGKAAATTTCAATGTGTCCCTAACCAATATTTTGATTGGTGATAGGTATCCGTTGAGGGTGACTCTGTCAATGTTTCTGGCTCGTCCCATTCTTCAGCKTTAAAAGTTCCTGAAAGCAAGCTATCAACGGATATGGAAAAACTATTAAATAATGGCACATTCAGTGATACAGTSCTAGTGGTAGACGGTCGGGAATTCTACGCGCATAAAGCAATCCTAGCAGCTCGATCTCCAGTCTTTAATGCTATGTTCGAGCATGAAATGACAGAAAGTCGTAAAGGGAGAGTTGAAATTTCCGATATCGATCCAGATGTATTYAGTGAGATGTTAAAGTTCATCTATACAGGAAATACACCACAAATACAAGGGATGGCAGAGGATTTATTGGCTGCAGCGGATAAAGTAAGTTTTTAGAGAAAATAAAAATAGGAAATGAGCAATTGTGTTTGTTATAGGAATGCTTGTACATATACAGGCTCGCCAACTTCGTAAAGTCTAAACATTAAAAGCATGAAAAAACGTAATAACCAAACGGCGCAATGCAGTGTAAATTACTCGTTAGAAAAAAAAKRATTTCACATCATTTTTTTAATTAAAATTACTAAGTTTTTCATGGTTTTAGTGTTTGCACTCTAGGAATATAATTATAGTCTTCAATGAGCGTCCCCTTCGTAACGGTATCGGCAAACCTTATCGTAAGCCTCAATGCTTTGACATTTTGATGTCTTTTTTCAATCCCTTTTGATATTAATCGTATGATCTATGCTGGTACGATACCCACTCTTCTCAAATCATCATTTCTCTTAATACTGCAATTAACCTTAAACGTCCCACTTTGATTGGTTATTGAAAAACGATCGTCAGCCAATCAGAGTACAATCACGATCTGTTTAAGAAAGGCATGGTTTTAGCGTGACATCATAGTTAGTAACTATGGTATCATTAACGGCTGCACATGGCTTGAGGCTTATTTTATTTCTCTTCCTGTTGCAGTACGATCTTGAGAGACTAAAAGTTATGTGTGAAGAAGCTCTTTGTAACAATCTGACAGTAGATAATGTTTGTGATATTCTCATCTTGGCGGATATGCACAGCGCAAAACAACTAAAAGGACAATCATTGGACTTCATCAATAGGTATTGAAATCATTTTATGCTTTGAAAAATATGGTCGGTATAACATATACAAATACGCTAAGACGAATAAGCTAAGACGAAAGGGGATTTTGGAAAAATTTRAATTAACATAGACATGTATTCATAGATATTAGCTACATGCTAAGACAGGGTGTTACAACGAATACACGGACAATTTSTTAGATATTTGTCTTCCCATGCACCCCTTCGGTCTTAGCTTCGATGTTGCAACCTTTTTGAACCCACAACCTTTTCATAATTAGATATATCGTACGCGCGTCTATTTCAGTAACTTGCGCGCGGTTTTGAGTTTTACATCGTCATGACACCCTGTTGACGTTATAAAATTGTCAAAACTGAAGTGGTCCACTGCAAGGTTTTGAACATTTTTTGACGTCAAGAGAGACGCGATGGTGTCAGACCAGACAGTTTGAAATAAGCTAGTCAGTGCAAAGAATTACGAGCAAAAAAGGGAACCTTTTTACATAACATGAAAGCTACATTTACTAACATTTCTCGCCTTTTGGATTAGAACCAGTGTTTTTCTTGTTGCTCATATTTTGTTGTTGTATTACAGCCACGCAACAGACGTCATGGATTCTACTGGCTGGAAGACTTTAGTTTGCGATCAAGCACATCTTATAGCTGAAGTGTTTAAATCGTTTTTAGCCTCGACCCAGACTCCTTGTATAGGTCCTCCAAGGAAGAGGCAGAAGACGTCATAATCRATTGTAGTTGAATATTCTTGAATCCTTGTAATATAATGGTGTAAATATAAACACTCTCTAGCCATATTTATAGTCTCCAGCATTACATTGTATATTTTCAGTGGTTTGGGGGTGTTCAAATATAAACTTTAATGAATATGCCTATTTGGTTGTCATTTTATTTGTTCTCTGGTGATAGCGGGGCTACTTTTCAAGGAAAAAAGTAGGTTTCTCTAGTCACCCTTATATATAATATGTCATCCTCTTTGAATCGTGGAAACCAAAACTTGGTTTCTTATAATGTGAAAGAAATGGCCATAACTTCGTTTTATCTATATTTATTTTCATACATTTATCTTTATTGAAGTTTTATACATTTTATTATGAACTATATTTATCATTTATAAATATTCTTTTTCAACATCGATTATTGCACACTATTGCTCTGTTCTGTCGATTCAGTGTCGTCCTGTTGATGACGATTTGTTCGCTTTGGCGGGAGGAACAMCATGGATATGCTCTTACTTTGATATTTTCTCACTTTGTGCTGTGTCAGGTTCTATCATGCAGTATTAATGAAAGCTAATACTTGTATCCTACGAAAATGATGGAATTAAATCAGTTCAAACSSCMGCSCTTTCCTTCCGGATTTTCTTTTTMAGGTGTAAACAGAGACTAAATATAGATGTCTTTCCAAAAGAATTCGACGGATGAGATTGTTATACAATCCACGAAAAATATACCGGTTCAGTTTAGTGCGGGGCGGGTGTTGGATGTTGTTTATCAGCGCCTGGACTTATATTCGCTTGCTTTCTTTGTGTTTGTGTGTGTTTAGCGAAAGCTTGTTTTCTATAGCGTTGTCTTACTGACGTTGAAAAGAACTGATATAAACCGCTGGCTCTGGGGGAGGGGGAGGGGGAAACGGAAGGGGAGGAGCCGAAAAAGGAGAAACCTCATTTTTTCGTTCCTACCCGCCTCCTCCCCTTCCATTTTCCTCCCCCCTCTCCCCTCCCCTAGAGCCGCTACGCAGTCTACCGCTGACTGATCTTACCATACTGACAGTAATAACCATAAGTTCCTCGCGGGCACAAGCAGACATTAGGCCGCACACAACTTCCTCCTCGTTGACACCTTCGAATGCAACGGGCTGCGGAGAACATTGTTACGGTATTAGAAAGTTCAGTAAGATGTAGGTACAGCTGATAAAGACGACAATGATGAATACTCGTATTGTTAATATAAGAGTCCTAGTTTGAAATAATGTTWGGTATGTCAGTAAAGCTCACCTTTATCACAACGTGAACCATACCATCCGTAAGAACATGAACAACGGTCAGGGGCGTAGCAAATGCCGCCATTTAAACACGGTCGACTACAAAACGCTGTAAATAATACATTATGAGTTATTTATTAATATATCTGATTTATGAACAAATATAGGTTCTACGCGAATCATTCCCAAGTCATTTCTGTAAATAATTACCTTTTTGGCAGTGTCTCCCAGTAAACCCTCGAGTACAAAGACAWGTATTWGGACCAACACATCGTCCTCCATTTTTACAGGCAGGATAACAAGCAGCTAAAAAAAAWYATTTGAGCATGCGTRATGKYRGCATTAAACCCACATGGTTWAGTACTTTTAGTATTTATAAATGTGCCAATGACAAGGTACTATTCAACAGTGTAGTTTAGTGGAGTAGTCTATATTATAGGTCATTATTTACCTGTGCATGTTGGTTGTTGATATCCTGATGGACAGYGACACACATTCGGTCGAACACACGTCCCTCCATTTTGACATGGTGATGTGCAGATCGCTATAGCATCAATRATTAACATTATATATTGCACCTTGCGCGCCGCACAAAAAGCGRGAGAATTGAATGGGTTCGAGGCTGCCATTTAAAGGCGCACTGCGTCAAACGCAGCGACCAGTCTTTCTCATTTTATCTGAGTGTTGTTGTGATGTTTGATATATATTCTATCATAAACATTTGTTAGTGACAAGTCTTACGCTTTTCGCATTTTCTTCCAGAGTATCCTGCCGTACATTTACACGTATTAGGCCCAATACATCTCCCTCCATTTAGACATTGTATCTTACAACTCACTAGAAAAGGGAAAATGGTCAGAGGTTAATAAAGAATTGTTCGACGATGACAGAATATCAGTGGCAGGTTCAGTCAGTATGTTCAGAGGGTGTTCCACAGTTTCCGAAATCCCCCTTCCTTGGCAGACAAAGTCTTTGAAATGAGACKTTTACTATACCACAATAGCTATGATCCCCTCCCCCACCAACTTTAACAATCATTTATCCCTTATTGCACATGCGCGGTCATTACCTTTCTCACAGCTATCTCCATGGTAACCGGCTTTACATTGACATCTGCTACGGCTGTTACAGTATCCACCGTTTAAACAAGGCCTGGCACATCGACCTTAAAACAAACAAAAACATAAAACAATCAATCAATTTGTGATAGTTGTGATATGATTATATTACTTTAAAAACATTGGTTTCGGACGTCGATTCTTTGTCGATCGCGTCATTACCTCAACTGACTCATTACAAAAGCTGGCGCAGAGAACGCGCTAGTTTTCTCCTCTTAAAATTCGCTATATTCGGCAAATTTGATAAATAGACCTGCTCWACATACCAGGACAATCTCGAAGATTACACTGCTTTTCTTGCGATGTTTGTAAAGCTTGCTGACACTCGGCGTCTAAAGGACCGTCATCMAGATTGACACACAACATAACACGTCGACGAACTCCTTTACCGCATGTTGTGGAACAGGGTGACCATTGTGACCACTCCATCTCTACTAAGAATATCAAATGAAACTATGACATTCACGCACGTATTAGTTGTACTTGCGGTTTTGCATGATTATAAATGATATCGCTATTATTACAACTATATAACCACTAGAAACCACTTACTTTGTTCCTTGTCGTCGACGTAGTTCGATAAACCAGAACCCTCTCGTCGGTCACCCGGATTCGAACCACTTCCACTGATATCATTTCGCTGAATTGTCATCTATTCCATACAAGAGCATATGTCACGTGATTAGACTAATATCATGAATATAATAGATTCATTTAAAAACAGAACTTACTGAAGAAAATGTTGGAGTGTAACACTGTTGTTTGGCGGCTTTTACATCAGGCACAAAATACAGCTCGTCTATTTCTATCTGGATGTAAGAATACAAGAAAAAAGCAATGTAATAACAGGAAACAAGTATCATCGGAGCTAATATTATTAGGTTAAAGTCTGAACTGATAATGGAAATATTTATTTATTAGATAACGGAGTTATGGTTCCATACGCAGCCTGTATTATACAATACGAGTGTATTGCTAATACTGCATTTTTGTGTAAATGATGACTCAGTGGCCATGTTTCACTTTGACACAGGAAGTCCGAACACAASTCGAAAATAATATCCACATTTGTCTTATTATGTATTTTGCTATCTATAATAATGTCCAATAAACTCACGTCTTTCTGGCCCTGATCATATCTGAAGAAAGATTGCCCTAGGCTGATTCTGCCTGAGGGGTCTGGAGCGAACGAAAACCTCCCAGAGAGAGACTCGGTCCCAACTTTCTCACAATCCCAGAACATGGTAACTTGTTTGGCTCGAAGACTGAAYGTTACACTRTGCCAACGATTTAACGATATTTGAACATTAAAATCCAAGGAATACAATTGATGCCTGTTGGGTGTATTGTCCGATAACTCGAACGTTAAATACCCTGATTTTAAACGAATTCCAAATTGAAGTTGATCAGCTCCATTATATAACGCCAGTAAGTATATGTCTGAGTATTKCACGGGTTTAAACGTTACTGTAATCGAGTATTCGTCAGGAAAAAAGTACTTGAACACTTTAGATGTTGGCATGGTAAGAGCTGTTAATCCTTGCAAGGTCACGTGACGGGGTACTCTTGTTCGTATGGGTGTGGTCCTGTCTGGTTGTGAGATAAAGTACTGGCCGATGTTCTTGATACCTTACAAAAGCAYAAAATATCAGAAAGTAAGGATTGAATAGTACGTGACGCTTGTTAGGGACTATGCTGCGACTTTTGTATTATTTATTTTTTCACATTATGGAGCTTTTTATTGAAGAAGCGCTGAATAAGTTGAACTAAAACTACTTAAGGCACTGTTAGTTTAATTAATACCCTTCTAGATTCCTCGAATCCTTGACCCATTAGTATAAATGCATATCTATACACCTGGCACACTCRTTATAACGACATTAAAATATCACTAGACCACCCCGGTTTGGCTGGGACCTGTGTTTTTCATACTCAAGTGATTGTCATTTGTAAACTTCTATTCGTTTTCTTTGAGAATCTGTTGTGACTTACGATTAGTTTCATAATCAAAATATCTCTAGTTATTACCGTAGCAATTGAAAAAGTTGCATTTTCTTTGTTCACTTTTGTGACCATCACACGTGTCTTTGATGCATTCTCTCGTTCGCCATTGCTTTCCACTCTCTCCGCAACTACGAGAACATGTTGACCAAGACGACCATGGTTTCCAGCCTGAGGGAGAATGAAACTTCATTGAGAGAAAATTAACAGACCATACAACCAGCGAAAAAACGAACAGACTCGAAAGATGAGAAAGCATAGCAGACAGAAAGACAAAAGCCACAAGTAAACGGGCGAGAGCTAAACCCAACAAAAAAAAAAAAAAAAACAACAAAAAAACAAGTAAATAACTAAAATAAATAAAAAAACACTGGGAAAAAAATGAAAAAATAAAACAAAACAACCAACGAACAACATGGACCTSCCCACCCACGCATCCACCAAGTAAGCAACGTTTAAATGAATTTATATTTTATAAACCAGAAACAAAATGAAATTTAATCTACCTAAAGAACTCCCTAAACCTAAAGGCACTGTTACTCTGTGCAATTTTATCAGCAACTTGTTTTGCAACAGCAACCTGCAAGACTGAATCAAGATGGCGGACAATCGAATTGAGAMTTGCACATCATGCTCAAACAGCGTACGTGACTTGAAAATCGCGAGAAAAGTTGCAGGAGGAGTAATACTCTGCGTAATGGCGTTGCAATAAGTTGCTGCAATGCGTTATGAAAAGTAAACCTGAGTTCTACTTCATGCAACGCTATGCGCATGAAAAAAAAGTTGCAAGAATAAAYCTGTGCAATTCGTCCAGTAACTGGCTAGTACTTGTGTCGCAATGGCGTTGTAARTCAAGTTGCCGAGAGTGATTCGCGTGTTTAGAGAGCGGATAGATATGTAGGAGGTTTGTTGGTCAAGGTAAACAATTCTATGTCTGTTATTAGMGAACAAAAAGTATCGCTACGCACCGGAAAGAAGCCGTCATCGTAATGACATMTCATGGTCTATGCAAGTCGATGTTGGATGAGCTATGGGGTAAAGAAAACTAACGCTGTTCTAATCTATAAACAATGAAACGGTGTTTTGTTACTAAAATTATTAACAAGAAATGTTTATGATATCACGAGGAAGTCAATATGAGATCATCAAAATATCGCGTCGTTTAGATAATATATAAGGAATTTAAGCGATTCTGAGAATCAATTTATAAAACAAACAAATCAATAAATAGCAAGATGATTTGAATTCTACTGTCTGAAATATGAAGATACCTAAGCCAATCTTGTTACAAAGACAAGGGATTCAATAAACAGTAGAGTATTTTCGTACAATGATTACACGTGACGATGTTGTGAAGGGCGGATCGATTATAAATCATCGTAACTCTTATCTATCGGCAACAAAATCAGTGGCTGACAAACTATTTTATTATATAGAAGTTTCGTAATAGAGAGGACAGAAAAACGAACTATCAAAAGCCTTTGAAAAACCTTTCTTTGAGTTTATCCACGTTTCGTCATAGCAGCCACGTTGGAAAGTATAAAGTTTGCAAAAACTAACGCGCGTTTAGATAATCGAATAAAAAAAGGCATCATTTTCACTAACAGTATTCATTCCTTTGAGTAAACTTCTATTCCTTTTTCTAAATTCCTTTTCTCTACATCCAAACTAATGGAATTCTACTCAAAGGTTTGTATGGTTYGTTTCTAGTMATCCAAGATGGCGGTATAACACTACGTGTTTTCTATCTCAGGGCCATCAAGTTCACTGATAAAACCAGGCAGAAAGGATGTTCTGTACATTCACTTTCAATGATATAAACAGTTCTGAGCATATTTAAGCCTGCGGCATGTGCCACATTGCTTAAAAGGTAAAAGGTCCACAATCAGTGCGTTGTCCAGTTGTCATCATTAGAATAAATAAGATTTATTGGTACAGACAATGATGATTGTAGTCCTGGGAAAATTTCACACATTTATCATTCTGTCGAAAAACGCATAGTACCCTGAGGGACGGATTATTGGATAATGTGAGTTCAAAAAAATACCAGCGGCCATGTTGAGTCTACGTCAATGGAAATCCCCTAAAGCAGAAATGGKTCCYRCGTGAAGGAAATCGTAGTATTTGGAGAATCTAAATCAGTGAAGATTTGTGTTGATAAGTAATACGTGTTTCTTCTCTACTGATTTCAGTTGTAAAATTATGATCATCCTTTCTTGTGATAATCTTTTGACCTCATTTTCTGCTATCTTTGATACAATAATATATAGATCAACGACAAACGAAGAATATTTTCGTTTTCAAAAATAGAATTTCCAATAAGTTCTCATGAATTATTATATATAAATATTACTGCATTCTCTCATTTCAGTTTCATTTCTTTTCTCTCATTTTTTAGTTTCGGTTTGTTTAAGAAGATAATTGAGGATCTAAGTCCTTCAGAATTGCTGCAATAGTTTTGAAATCCTGTTTACTATTGATAAATGGGTTTAGTCAGTCGGTGCTCAATAAAAGTGAAAAGTCCTTCCGAGGAGGAGACTAAGCTGATCGATGGTTTCTTCACTGATCAGCGATTACCTTCGACTTTTCCGGCAGCCGACATTATTTCACTACTAGCCGAGAAATTATATATAGAGACTGAAATATCACCAAAAACTTTTGAAAGATTCCGTTGAAATTATGCCAGATGTTAAAATAATATGAATATCAAATGAGATGGAATGGAAAACCGCTGGATGAAACACATCCGCGTATAAAAAAAGAAAGAACTGCAAATCCCGTCACTATAACAGTGCCAATTTGATTAGATTTGTTTATGTCTGTCATGATTTCATTATTTTTAATAAGATCTTCCGTTCTGATTRCAGAGAACTCAGTGCAACAAGAACAGTTTAACACATTCAAACATCAAGATTTGATTTACGATTTTGTGGAATAAGAGAAGCTCTACCGTYACTCTGTCTACACCAGAGAAAGCCTAATTAGAAAATGAAAGATATATCCATGAGAATTCCGTCCAATTATACCCCAAAGCCTTCTGGCGCCTAATAGCTGTGAAATTCGTAAAATATGTTTTTTGCTAAGCGAACGTCAATAAGGGATGTGGGAAATGGGTGTGGCCCACTACGACCGATAGAGCTAAACTARGCATTTTCTATGATTCCGTGTGCGTGTGTTGTGCTTTTCAACGTTTGATCGACTTAAAAGGATCCATCAARGCCACGTACGCCCTGATGAATAACACAAATCAAATTAAACCTCTCCYAAACAGATTTACATCAMAAATTTGTTATTCTTCYCGGTAATAACAACAAAACTGCCTTAGAATCTTCATTAGACTAATCATTAAAGATAACGCGATAATAGAATCCTAAAATGTAGTCTAGTCTCATTTGGTGTCTATTACAAAGTGCAGATAGTGAACCTGGTCCTTGAGTATGTCACTCGTGCGACGTAAGTTAACTCAGGGCTCTAGTAATGGAACATTTTAAATAGATCAACTTTCTCAGTAAACCACCGCCTTGTCTTATCATAGTAAATTAGTTAACAGTATGTGGTAGTTGTTTTGCTTACCTAAAGTCTTCAGTATATTATTCTCATTTTGTTCTGTGACGGAGGAAGTTGCACCGAATATGTCATCGTAACGTGCGACTAAGCTTAACGTCTTGGGGTGTACAACCATGAATATCAAGTGCATTTCTCCAGTGTAGACCTCAGAATAACATAATCTCTTTTCGCCAAATCCGTACACCTTTACTGTTGGACCTGGATGCCTCTCGAGAACATCGTTTATAATATTCTCGCCTTTTAAGATCCTGTAGATCTCGAATTCTGCTGCATAAGTCTGAGTTACTTTGTCCATTGGATACAAACCGACAACTTTCCCGACGAAAACAACTTTGACGAGCTTAGCTCGCTCGGTAACAGTCATTTTAGTCCAGCCATTTAATAGAAGAATACACGGTTGAGCAATTTCTACAAGAAGTGCTACTACTGACAGCAAAACAACAACTCGAAGATTACCTTTGAAAGCCTTCATGACAAAGCTTGAACAATGTAGTGTATAAAAGCACGGTACAAAATGAGCTAACAATACTTCTCAGTCGTTTTGTACAATCTCATGTAAATCGTATTTTGTTTGAAGTGGTTCAGATTGTGTTACAGGTCCATCAGTCTAAGCCTTTACTGGATTCCTGTATCGGATATGCCCTCTGCTGACACTAAGTCAAGTTGCATTGCATACCAAGTGCTTAATGCTTTGGTGGCCGACCCCCGATGCTATTACCTAAAAGAAAAGCGGCAAAATGTGGCTGTAAGACGAAATGAGATAATGAACTATTAGTCATCTATTAGTCGCTTAATTAGTGTCACTCTGTTGTCGGTTTAGGATGATGTATTGGGTGTCAAATAGAAATCCTCTCTGTGTTCTTGTACAAATAGTGTGCCTCCCGCCGACAAGAAACTCGTGTGTACGCTATCCAAACATTAGCAAATCATATCGATGTCGCTCGCGTACAATGTTTGTTATCAACATAAGTAGTGTGAATAATGGTTAAGGGTGAATGTTGGCATATGTTTTCTCTACAAAACTTGAACATGATCGCATTACATGAGATGGAGTCACGAACGTACAGTAGACCATTCAAAGTACGCATACTTAACGTTATATCGTATCTTATCGCCCTATTAAACATAAAATATCGAAGTCCAAATCAGCTGTTATCATAACTTTCCAACTTTYGAAATAAAAAGTTCAAGCTGTGCTATTATCGTCCTCTCCAGGAGAACCTGACATCTTTAAATCACAACGTTTACATTTAAAGTTTCATCATTAGTGATAATGCAGCCACCGCAGAGTGCCCGAGGGAAGGTTCGCGGATTCAAAGTGGTTTGTTTCATGATTGGCTAAAGAGCGCTCATTAGCAACATATGTGAGAGACTACTTGTGCTTCAGACCTGCCGTCTCGTAGTWATTTCTCATCTGATTAGGCGTTTTAAACACACTTAACCTTCTTATTCCCTATAAACTATGGTCKCTTTTAAGACTCCACTCGAAGGAGTTTACTTATAAACATATTTTAACCCCATGCCCCACCCTTCCTTGATTATTGACGCAAACTTAGAACAAATAYTCATCCCACGTCATGTCGCAATAGTCTCGAAAACTCACAAGTGAACAAAAACAWTTGATAAGCAACAACTGTTATTTGAATTACTTTGATACTCAGACGACACTCGAGCTTCATATGCTGAGAAACAACTCGAATGTACGTTTAGTATATCAGTTTCCCCATTTCATAATTGGTAAAGTGTGCACTTGTTGAAATCTCTATTTTGTAGTGCGTGGTGCTTGAGAAATCCTCTCACAATTTACTCTACTCACAACAAGTACTTTGTAACTAATCCGAAATGCGATATATGTTAAGGCTTGTTGAGTAAAGGAGGAAAATACTTATCCTTACATGTTGCATAGTTAAAACACTTGCGAATTGAAGCGGGAATTGAAGTCTCGTTGAATGGTAGGCAACCTATTGGTGAAATGAAACCCACCCGCCATCTTGTATTATAGGGTAGTACATCTCTGATGAATCTATGTTTTGAGTTTATCTTGCTTTTAAAAATATAAATGCTTTTGGTCATGGAATTTATCCTAATGTGTTCCACTAAAAAATGAATAAAAATGTAATATCAGTCATTGCTAGTTTTAATTTTCTCTTGAAGATCTGTTTCTGTAGTTACGTGCCACTGTTGGGGACATGATCCCATGTACTTTATTCCTGATCCAATTATTGGTACTAGACGATAAGTCTCTGAATGATTTGCTGACGGCAAAGCGCATGCAACCTTTACATACACATGCGAGCCGCRTGCAGTACCATTTGTAATGTGGTATACATAGTTCAGTTTCTTATCAAACGTAACCACTGCAAATAARGACTTCCCACAAGTAGCCGGAAATGTTTGTAYCTATATTTGGTACAAAGCTATTCTCGTCCAKTGTATKCGCATTCTAGAGACAGTTTCAGACATTAACCATTGCATTGTAGACCTAAGGTTTGATAAACTGTTCATTTCTGTTCAGCGGTATTCATTTATGTATTGTCTAGTCTAAACTCACGTGACTTCCAAAGTTGTCAACTTAGCTAATCCGTTACGTCATTTCCGGTGTTCTAGTGGTACTCTAATCGTGCTAATCTAGGATCTTTGAATTCCAGAGTGATTTTATCAAAGGTACCAGCCATATATTACCCTGCATCGAGAGCTTCGTTTTTTTCTCTCTTCACTACTGTTTTTGTTGTCGTGAAGCGACTAGCCATCATTTTGTAATTGKGTATCGCTCAGATGCTTATATTTTCAACCTGATATTTTTTTTATACAAGTAATTGTTCGATTCGAATTTCAGATTTCAGAAAAGACACTAGGTATTACTTWTACCYCCACAAAACAAAGTTAGCAGAACTAAGACGCTTAACAAAGCATTTATAAGGTATGATTGGCGATAGAATGCATCAAAAATATAATCGAAATATGTTATCAAGTTCAATCGGCACCATGGATTGTTGTTTTCGTGTTTTTAGCAAGATTCTAGATCATAAAAATAATATAACTTATTACATACTTTTTACATGGTCTGTTTGGACTGAAAATTGAACAACAGAACCGAATAAAACAAAGGAAGATATGATAAATTACCTGCTTTTGACGTCTGGAAAAACGGAGAGTTACCCTTAAAATACAGCAAGCAATAGCTTTTGCTTCAGTGAAGTATTCGTTTTTCATCTTAAAATAGAGGGTGTAACTATTATCTATGAAAACACAGCTTTGGTAGAATGGACAGAGCTGCACCGGAAGGGTCGTCAAACAAGCAGGAAACAGGTTTGATTTCCTAGACAATTTTATACCACCATCCAGGGTAGGGTGGGGGAAATTCAAGTAAACTGAGTGATTACAGTTTTCAAGTCATGCCATCGCATGAAAATAAGTTTTAGATATTTGAGACAAGCCAACCATAAAACCTAACTAACAACCACAGCCAAACACTGGCCAAACACTAAACAATCAAATGACCTACAACTGGTCAGCCAAACAACCAATACACCGAACAAACCGATCAACCAAAAAAAAATCAATCATGGCGACCAAACCAAACTAACCAATCAACCAAGCTAACCCCGCCACTTGCAGCCGTAAAAAATGAGGCCGCAAAGTATGCTGGGTACAAACATGCAGGTAAAGCTTTTAGAATGTTAGTTTGAGCTACTAAATTTATTGCTTGTAGTAAAAGCATGTGGTGTACAGCTCGATTACACTCAGTGTGCGAATTCCTTTTTAATTTCTTATGACGTAAAAACATTTTCATATTTGGCATATTTCCGCATTAAACGCAATGACTGAACCTCAAGTAGACCTAAGGATAAACACAATAAACTGACTTTAATTCACTGACTTGATTCSTTTGATTAGCGACCAGTAACAACTCATCTTCCATCTGTTGCGTGAKATTATTTTACGCTATGAATGGCCTGCAGAGAAAGGCACCTTTTCCCTAAGGCTATCTGCGTGTTACTATAACAATCATTGTCAAACATTTCTGGTTCGGTTCTTTTTCGGCAGTCGAAAGTTAGTCTGCTAACCTTTAAAAGATCAAGATTCCATTCCTTGAGATAATGTTGAACGAACTATTAACAACTATCTATCAGGCTTAATCGAATGCAACTATTTAAGGTATCAATACATTGCATGACACAACATTGTGCGAAAAAGTTATATGTAGCTTTGCATTGAAACGTTTGCTTTGATTAACAGTTATTTTCGAGTGCGTACGATGTTGAAAATCCGATTCCTTGTGAAGAAGGCTGTTCCATTCACAGCATGTTTTCCGCTAAATCTAACGTGTGTGGGTCCCTTACAGATATCGAGATTCATTGATAAGATGTCATTTTCTAGTTTCTTTTTTCGATATATACATTTTACATTGTGCGGTTCTTTCCTTTCAGTTTTAATCCATTAAATCTTGACATTGAACTTTGAGGTCAATGGGAAAGTAATTATGTTGAGGAAAATGTTTTTTTTTTTGTAAAAATGAAAATGAAATGCCATTTAACGAAAACGTTTGATTGAGTAATCAGATGAGGTGATAGAAATACAGATTATTTTGAATAAGAGATGTAATAGTGAATCACTTACTTAGTGCGTTGTTGCTCTGGATGAAAACCTTTTGCTTTGTCTACGTACCCACAGACGCACACCACCTAGGYTCACTCTTGGATCAGCTGTTGTGAATACCTCAGAAGCTGGCCGAGTACCATTGACTAACAAGTTCATATTACTTGGTAAAACTGATTCGAGTTTTTCTAACTCGACGGGACATTCTAGTCCATGCATGGCTCACTCGTGCAGCTTCTCGTAACGGGGAGCAAGTTTGCAAGTATGTACAGAATGCTAAGAAACCTGCCTGTCTCCCCAGAAGTAAGTCTTGCACATCTGGACCCGTTATATCAGGTCAGCGGTTAGTACTTGCCGTCTGCTCTGATATGCACGATTATAGCCTTATCATAGACATAATGACAGTTGTAATATGACTTGTTAAAGGCTAGTTCTAAGCATATCTTCATTATCATACCATTRGCTATCTATTTATCACAAGACACGACCCAGAGCAGCAGGCAGCCATGATCACCTTATGTCTCGCCAACATGAAGTCTACMTTCCCTCCTGAGCTTAGTTGTACCATCAAATGAATGGGATACACACTGTACCATACAAGGATCGTGACAGATAGGACGCCGTCTGGAAATTTCCCTTATTTGACTGTGAAASCAAATGCCTTGTATAAAACCAAAAAGTCAGCCGCGTAAGGATTCATGAATATTTGTAAGTTTTTAGACTTCAGACGAATGATGAAATACAATTCCATAAAATTACGTATTTCTCTTTTGAAATTTACGTTGAATACGATCCATGCATTTTAGTGACTCTATCTGAGCAGTATTATTCTGGCAAAGAACAAGTTGTTATTTACATGGCCTTCAAAATATAACTGACTTCAATTTATCTCRAGCATTAGAAATGATGTTACAATTCTTGTAATGATTTCTGATACATTTTTGATAGAATAATGCGCGTGCGCCAAGTCACCTTCAAGTCTCTATAGCCTTACCAAGGGTGTCGCAGTATMAATGCAACAATGGCTGGCGTGTAATCGAGTGTATGAAATATTCGTAATTTTTCCCACCATCAGTTGGCGTAGGTCCTGGGTGTGGAGTGCGATTGAAAGTCAAGGTCATTTTTAAATCCCTCCCTTTTAAATACCATTATGGACAAGGAAGTCTGTACCTAATTTACTAATTTCTTCAACTACAATCTCTCTTTCCCTATTTTTTAATAGATTCGCAAAATGGCGTACAAATGCCGAACCGACCGGCATAGATGTTTATTCCAAGGATGTAACAAAAAAGGCTTTTGTATTTATATAGGGTTAGTAAATTGTGACCCGATCGAGTTTGGCAGTATTTGAAGGAGTAGATTATACGAGCCGAGTCGTTCTGACCTCCATATCAATATGTAACATCCATGGATAAAATACTACTTTCTGATTGTTTGAATCACGTTATATATGGGTCTAGTTTTCTTGTAGTTTCGCTGCGATTCCGGGTAACGCTTTTATATAACTGTCATTTCCGATTAAACGAAAACGAATGTAATGTGAATACGGAATATGATATGAGACATAAGTGCTTATTACCTAGGCTACTGGTTGCTTTAAGTTCTCACATGACATCAAAGACAAAATCGAAACTTTTTCTTTCAGTTTCGCAGAACTTTAAATGATATTGAAATGTTTTGATTGATTTCACAGAATAGAGTTTAATTTTCTTTCAGCATTTCGAAAATAAAATGATAATCATTCAAAAATGAAAATGAATTCAAAAGCATTCATTTCTCTTTTGATAAAACCATCTATAAATATTGTTTTAGAGTCGCAATTGGTTTCAATCATGTTGAACCTTTACCTATATCTCACCCTATGTTGGATAGGATGGATGGCTTTGTCTTGCTGTGGTATGTCCATTTATACATTTATGCCAAAAATCAGGACTGAATCAGCGGGTGATAAGCGCGTTAGCTAAAATAGTACCAGCCAAAATTATTCTATCTACGACCATAACGAAAGCAAACTTGTAAATTCTATTCGACATAACTGATTGAGCACTGTAGTATTAGATTTCATCATTTCATCTCAGAGTGTTTTAGGCTGTCAGAGTGGTCATTTAAAATAACTTTCTGAGTATCGTAGTTTAGTGTATGTATGGGTAAATCAGTGTTGAGAGTCGGAGGCGAGTCGGACTTTGCATGCTTATATAGTCATAAACAAGAGTCTCGCTCTAATCTTACACTTTMAGGAGAGAAACATCAACATCATTGTAAATATGGAGGCCTCACTACCAATCACACAAACGTTCCAGGTATAGATCAAAGTAGTCGTTTTGGGCGACTTTAGCCGACAATTGGAACAATGGAGTGGTTGAATCGAGAGCATTATGTTGTGATATTCTCCCGCCAAAATTGGATATTTCGAAAACAAATAGTCATCCGAGAAAACAGATGGAGGGCGAGTATGAAGTTTTGAGGAGCATCCAGTTTTTTCAAGGGTAACTATCACAGCATAATGCTATAGAATTTAACTGCTTTATTGCGTCTATTATTCAACAAATTTTCTGAAGCGACGCAGTCGATACACTGCTGCGGTCACTACTGCGTCACGTAGTCCACACTCGACCAATCATAAAGCATTCAATAACTTGTCAATAATACATCCAAAAACTAAGCTATATTTCATGTGTGCGACGTGTATTATCAATTTTCATCGAAACTTGTGCTCTTTGATTGCCACCTTTATTCCTATAGTGTCGATATAACCCAGAAACTAGAGCCTTTGTACTGAACTAATAATTCCTCACAAATGAGAAATATAAAGGATAAGACTAATTTCCGACATCAACTTTTTTCCTTTATCCTAAAGGCCCGCCTCGCATTAAAATACCTAAGTGCAATCCATCCCAAATAGTTGACGGTCATTTTGTGATGACATGCGAGGTGCTTGCGAATCCTGCAGCTATAATCACATGGCAACACAATGGTAAAACATTGACACCCGAAGATTTTCAGAAGATCGACAAACTGAGCTGCAACCAGAGATTTGAAATCTCTAATGTACTGAAAGAACACAGTGGCGTATATACATGTACTGCTACCAATAGTTTTGGTAGTACGAACAAGACTTGTACTCTAAGTGTGGAAGGTGAGGCTTTTTCACATTATAGGTATATCAATGTTTTTCTTATGTGTAGAAACAATCTACGTCATAGTCTAGACTGATGTTTTGTGTATCAGTATCACCGAAGGCTATGAAATCAAGTTTCTTTAATGAGCGCAACAGAGTACATTGGTTTTAGTAGCGTATAGTTTCGTAAGCTGTAAACTAGATCCCAAGGAAAAGTTTGGTAAAAGTCTTAAAAAATGCATGTCCGTTGAGAATGCAAATACTGCGGAAAATCTTGTAAAAGACGTCACTATTGCTTCATGCATCTATTTGGGAATATTATATATGTATTGCACAAAGGGTGATATCGGAAATCGTATTAAAAAATCATCTGTTTACTTTACTCACGTAAAATTGCATCTCATTTTGCATTTAGATAAGAAATGCCCATTAGTCCACGCTGGAATAKATTTTGTTCGAACATCTTTGAAAAAGGGTAACGTTTTAAGAGCAGGATCATCAMTGAACATCACTTGCACTGTGCACAACAAACGGTTGATCTTCTGGCGGAAAGATGGTAAGGTTTATACAGGAGCGCCACGGATCCAGGGCCCCTCTTCGTCTACTATTATATTTGCTCGTGTTAATGCAAGCGACAGTGGTAATTACACATGCATCGCACGTGGTTATCAATCAAACTGTGAGGTCCAAAGGTCGAAATATCTCCAAGTAGGTAAGTTATCAATAAATCATTAAAATATTATYAATAAYCATCATATTTTCCGTCCAAACTKTCTTTAAAAGCACGTTTTTGATTACCAAATRGTGGTGGTGGTGCGTGCACCCCTACCCTAATAATAGGAGTACACCCGCCCTCTGAAGTCTCCATGGGAGAAATCACAAACGCCCTGCGATATCGGGTTTGATTTACTGTTCAAAATCCAATATTTAAGGTATTATTATTATTATTTCTCTTTTATAGTTGATTCATTGGCAACTTCTGAGAAGAGATCAAAAGCTGTTCAAGCAGAAATTCAAGCGATTTTGTCTCATTTCGTAGTGTTGTTCTGGATTGGTTCCCACATATAGAAAGCCATCCAAAATAACACTACGAAGTTCAACTGACAAAGCGTAAAGAATCTTGATTTGGGAGATACGCAGTAATTGATTGCTTAAAATCGATTATTAATATAAAGTTATATATTAGCGCCTCGGCACATCCGCAGGTCAATTATATCCCTACCGTACTACTCTTRGACCTGGCTCAGAATGATTAAAATATCAATATTGGAATCGGATCTCTGAAACACTAATCAATCATAAAACATCGGAATGATAGTGAGCATACCATCAACAGCGATATACGTATGGTCAAAATAACTATTCCAAAAATATTTCCTACCCTATACAACCAATTTCACGGTCATTCTATGTGTACAAATGTCTTTATTACAAATAAAATACCTTTCTTCGCATAACAAACTGTATTTATACACGTATTCTCATCTCATTATAGCCTTGCTTTTACTTCATCAATCTCTTGTTGTATACGTTGTATGAAGTGTTAAGGACATAACTGACTACAAACCTGTTGAATCTTCAAAACTGAGTGAAGATTGTCAATACAAAATTACTGTTAGTGTGAAATGGAAAACAACAAAAAAAAGGAAATACCCTTTTCTCTCCTGTGTGCTAGCTTCTACAATATGGCAAAATGTTTCAGTTCAGTGGCAAATATTGATTCAAAGTGAGCAATGAAAGGCCCTCGTGTGCATTCAAGAGCGTTTGCGCGATTTTCTCACATACGAAAATTCACCATCTTTGATTTTGAACCAATCAGAAAGCACCTTTCAACAAGAGATCATTTGTAAAACAAAARAGCAAAGACTGTCGGGTGCACGTGGGCCTTAAAACATAATAGTGTGAATGTAGTAATGAAATCTATCTACGTTTATAAGGATATCAGCTTCGTCAAAATCTTCGAGTTCTACGACGACCTCTAGCTTAACCTCCAATTCATCTAAACGTCGCTGCAAGCTTACTTTGTCAACACTGGTGACATTCTGTAAAACGAATAAGAAAATAATTACAATGATTATTCTATAATGTATTTATACAGTACGTTCGTTGCTTATCTTATATGGTGACTGTGGTAAGTGCCTTATTAGAACGTTTGTCTAAAATACTTTGCCGCGCTTCTCTGGACCTTATAGAGTGATCGACATTTTCAGAATAATAAAAGTTTCGGATGAATGATGATTGATATTACTACACTTGTTATCATTGACGATATATCCACACTTCCATCGAATAACCATGAATATAAAAGACTCAAACCTGAGAAGTCGCGACAGTATCATCAGTACTGCTCGGTTCATTCGAATCTTGCTCGTTTTCTTCGCATTCAGAAACTGGTTCGTTAATCTCATGCTTTGAGCACAGCTCTTTGATAAGGTTCTAAAGTACAGTAAAGACACACTGAGTAAATCTATGGGTCCTTTTAGCTATGAAAATGGTCTACCAGGAACCGATGGGCATTATGGGAATGTTCTAAAGTCAAGAGGTTACCTTGCAAGTTGTTATTTCAGCATTGAGCAGAGTGTACAGAAGATCATTCCTGGTATATCTGAGAATAACGAGTTCACGTCAGATACGATTTCTATTACTATTCAGCTATGAAAGTTAGYGAAGAGGTAAAAATATTACCTTTCAACGTTGCGCTCTAATTCTTTGAGTACTTGTGCAGCTGAATTAACTAMTTGGATAGCTGTGGAGATTTTCAGCCGTAAACATAATTGTTAGACTTCGATGTATTTTAATAGCGCTATTTTCATCGCTATCATCTACATCACTTGACAATACCATTAACAATGAAGATACAAACAAGAAAAATCTAGCCCTGTCCTCCAAAGGCGAACCTGTTACGTGTCACGGGCTTTCTGTTTTGTGATCTTTATAAAGGAAACCCGAATATGAAAGTTGGCTTTGAAGGTGGCAAGGGTTGGCAACATAATCAGAAATTTACCTGACTTAAATTCTTCTTCCTTTAGATTGTCTGATATATTTTTAAAATCCTTTTCAACGTTCTTCAGTAATTCAGTGTCACTGTCCAAATCTTGAAGAACAGTTTCCAACTTTTTCTGGTTTTCTATTCCTTCGATGTTCAAGGCTTCACTTTCTTCCTTGAGTCTCTTTGCTTCTTTGAAATTTCTTTCTGAAATGTTTGTAAAAAATATTTTCAGGGGCGTATCCAGGATTCGTTATTGGGGGAGAGAGGGKAAGGGTTTCTTTGTGCGCTTTCCAATTGTCAGAACTGGCTGGCCAGCCCAGAGAAAATGTCATTATATATCATTCCCATTTAGTTAGGAAATTCAAATTTTCAATTTCTATCCATTATTCTACAGAAATACTCGAAATGACTGAAAAATGTTGACAAAAAGCATTATATACCTCTAAATAGAGTGGACTGGCCGGCCAGTTCTGCCTAAATGGAAAGCACCCTTACATACAAAATCCTCACTATGACGTAATATGTTATCAATATGACGTCATAGCAACGCTAACGAATCATGGAGAAACACTTGRAAAAACGAGAAAATTTCCATTTACCTTTCTTTGCGATGTCTTTGGCCTCGTTTCTGTCTGAAATCTGGGCTTCAATTTCAGATAGACTTTTCCTAAGTGACGCGGCTGTTCTATTTGATAGATTAATTTTGGCATGCAGTGTCTTTATCTGTTGATGCGACCGCTGGGCAGATGACTTTAATCTAACATTAAAGGGCGCAATTAAAAACTTGACCAATTTAAAAGAACACCCAATAAAGCAGATTGGCAAAAGAAAACAACAACARCAAAACAAGCAAAAAATGTTTAACGTAATCTGCAGGGAATGCGCGCGTCACTTGTTCGCATGTTGAGTACGACGTATATCTTTTAAAAACTTATGAAAAKCCAAATGTTTTAACCGGACAGGTMCAGGTAACCATTTAAATGTTAGGACTCAGACACATAATTTTTTGACATCAATTCTTTGAGATATGAGCTACAATGACATACTTATCCAGACTTGGGTCAGCATTTAAGGAAAGATGCTTTAAACACTGGAAATCTTCTAGTTCTCCACGTCTCTCCTCCAGATGCTCGATCATTGCATTGTTTCTTTCAACGGCTGACTGGAGACGGTCGAGAAACTCTGAAAGCCTGGAAATTGCCATTACAAATATATATAGCATACATATGAGTTCGTAAAAAAGAGAAAGAAAGAAAAAAGAGAAGAAAAGAAAAAAAGAGCAGCGCAACAACAACGCCAATGAAATTTGTTTCAATTTTCTAGGAGTTGCATAAAAGYTAAGTTACATGGTTTTACCTTAGTTTCCTACGATTCCACTCATCAATTACATTATTGTAAGCCTCTTGACTCGAGGCTAGAGCTTCCTGTAATCAAAAGTCAAAGATTGTTTTGATTAAACAAAAACGTCTGTCGCCAATTCGGCAAGGAAAAGCACTGCATGGATGTGGAAAAATAGTAAAAATCGCAGCAAGGTTGCAACTTTCCGCAGAGGAAGTCGTACGACAAGACGGAAAGCAACTTTCAAGTCTTGTACAATTTGTCATATCTTATCGGGCGAGATATAGAAAATTGATGGCTAGCAGTCAAGTTGCGAGTATTCTAAATCATTTATACCTGTTGATCATCAAGAAGCCTTTCCTGATATTCTAGGTCTTTCCTTTGGACATCAAGAGCGTTTCTTTGTGGCAAGAACTCTTCTAAAATCTCTGCTATCTTGATTTCTTCCCCATTGATATCGTCTCTATACTTAGATTCTTTTAACCTTAGCTGTTTTAATCTTTCTTCCAAATCTGAAATTTCTTGCTAAAGGATTATTGCACCAATAAGAATATGCCCATATGATAGATGATAAATTTGACGTCAATATAGATAAGAAGAACAAGAACAATAAACGACACAAAGAACAAGGTGAATACAGGGAATAAGAAAAAAACGACGGACAAGACGGACAAGAAAAACAGGTTTTATGGCAAGACGAAGAAGACAAAGAACAAGAACAAGAGAGAATGCAAAGAACAAGAACTTCAAGCAGGAGAAATATGTAGTCAAGTTTCACTATTACCTTGATCAGCTGGTGCTCTTTCATTAACTCTTTCTTGCGAGCTACAAATTTTGCTGTTCTTTCATTAATTTCTTCCTCAAGTGCGTCATCTTCTTTCTTAAGATGTTCACTATCGAGTGAAAGATGAGCACGAGTTCGYTCAATTCGCTGTTTTTCTAGATTTAAATGTTGTTTTTCTTTGGATATTTTAGAGCCATTTTCTTCATTATGATAATCTAAAATKGCAACTTGTTCTTCTCGTAATTCTTGTAAGCTACTTTCTGCTTCACRGTGAATTGACAGTGTTCTTGCAGCAAGCTCAGATGAGAGTTTTAATGTTTCCTGAACCTGAACAAAAATTATAAGATGTCAATAAGGGCAARCAACTTAAAACCGTGCACAATTAGATAAATTATTCCAACTTTATTCTTAAAGTACGAAYTGTAGATAGACAAAAACCGGAGTTAYGCGTACACATGCACATTAAACCGAYAAGCATAGTGGCTTACCCTATTCGAGGGAATAGYCACAAAACKTATGTCGTATGGTTGGAAAAAACGACTTAAACAAACGAAAACTTTTTCATCYCCTCTTTATTCTGTAYAAATTATGTCTTTGTAAAATCAATGTGMAGTCAATTACCAATTCAATTACCTTGATATCACAAACCGGAGCTTTGTACTTAATCTTTTCCAAATCTTCTTTAGCTTGTTGAATTTTGACAGCAAGTTCCTCKGCYAAGTCATAATTATCTTCAGCAATAGCMGTTGATTCTTCTTTAATATGATTTTCCAATTCATTTTGTTTGTTCAAGTATAGAGTTTCTACATTGGAGTAATTTTCTATCAAATGTGCTTTAAGGTTGGCCAAACACTCTTCATCTTCTCTGAAACATTAATGGAAAGAATTGCCATAATTAGGAGATGTATACTAGTCTTATAATAATTTTATTCATTGGCTTCTTCTACGTGTCTTGAGTGTCTATGCTTTGCTCTGTTAYTGCTTTTTTGGTAGAAAYTKGGCAGTAAAAAGGCAGGAATACCTGAAYTTGAATGGTTGTAGCTTGACTATATCACATAAGACGTTTTTCTTCCTTACTTCTTCTAATGATTTTCACCACTTTTCCTTCACCATTCAAAATAATTATAAAATATAGACTGTATTCCTTTGCCTTTTTTCCTTTTGAACTCATTCTCATTGCTTTTCTTTTTCCTTTAGTTTTATTGCATTCACTTGCCTTAGTCTAAAGTACTTACTTTAAATTTGAAATTTGAAACTGGATATCTTGTTCCATTATAGTAAGTTTATCCTCAGCATCAACACTAAATTCATACATCTTTTCTTTATGACTTTCTTTATCATCATTTCCCATAGTCTTACTGTCTTCTTTCACAGATTTTTYTTCTATATCAAATTTTTCTTTATCATCTGTACTTGTCTTACTGATTGTTTGTGATTCAAGATCTACATGGGATTGTATATCATCTTCACTTTGACAACTTTCATCTTCACTCTCATTGTTATCCTTGTTCTCTTTGTCAAGATCTTGCTGACTTTCAAGTCTATAGTTGTCACTTTTGCTGTCTGCATCTATTGGTTCTTCCCACAAAGTAAAACCAGTAGTTAATAGAAATGTCTAGCAACATAAACATTTGSTTTCATCAAAGTTACCTATGCTTTCAAYRMCTTCTTCTTGTGGTTCTGYGATATCACCTCCACTTAGATTTTCTTCAGAGGATGTTGGGGTTCCAATAGAATAGAGCTGTTGGCACTCACTTCTGTTAGTTTCTATTTCTAAACAAAGAATGATAATATTGTGAAAACTCTTTTTACAGTTTCCATTGTCACCTGAAAAGYCATGCCTTTCAATTGAAGTGAAAAACAAGTCAAGCTTAAAGTGATACTCTAGACACCTTTAAATAAATTAATTTTTCAGCACCTTGCAGAATATTCTTACTTACAAGAATCTATTATGACAAGGTCAACTACTGTTTCACTGATATGCAAAGGTGCGGCTAAAAATGGTTGATGTAGAAAGGAATGAATCAATAATTCTTACTATCTATAATTCACCTTTTTTAAAAGATTCACTATCATCAATGCCCCCACCAAAATCATCAACATCTGATTTCATGATCTGAGCACTACCCTCAGCAGTATTTGCTTGATTGGTACTTGTTTGTCCTCCAATTTCAATGGTTTTACCACACTCTGCTGGTGTCTGTTCAAGTGAATGGAGGTTTGTCTCTTGCTTAGTTTCTGTTTCCTGAGATACACAGTCCTGGTTCTTTAGGGTTTCATATGTTTCTTGATTTGATGGCTTTGATATCATGCTTCCCTTTTTCTCAGAACTATAAGGACAATTGAACTCAAAAAATTTGGTAATTGAAATGGCTAATGACAAAAAATCTGTGATATAACTATGTACAATGTATCATTAGACAATACTCAATTTTATTGTGCCCTGTGCCATCTTGAAAGGTAACCCAGTCTGTACATTAAACTAAAACATGGTTGAGCTTACAATGGTAGATACCTGTGAATAAATGCCTTAGGTATATGCATGAATAAAAGGTGTAACAGCTTCTTCAATCACTGTTTTGCTTTGAAGTAAAGTTTACAGCTATCTTGATGGCGCTGGGCATGAATCACTGAATCTCAACATGCCTTTACCTGCTGGTAGATTTTAAATCTCTTGCATATCCTGGTTGTTTAGCTTGTGTTTTCTTTTTCTTTTTTCCCAGTTGAATTGCACCTCCTATATTTTGATTTCTTGTTGCTTTGCTATCCAACTGTATTTCTTCATGAATGTTAATGAAATCTATATCTTTATCTTGAGATTGTGTGAAGTCTAAATTTAACTTAGAACCTGACATGCAAAACATAGAGCAAAAACATCTTTTAACAGTTTCATGTTTTATTCACTTTTTTGTTTTTATTTTCCATCCATTCCACTACTAATTTAATTTTTGCACTCATTGTTCTTTTACCCACTTATTCACTAAGATTTCCATTTATAATTCTGACTTTTAGTATGGGAAGTTTTCCTAAACAATATTTACTTCTAACTGTAACATGCACCATTTTGATTCCCAAAAAATTGCATGCAGARCTGAAATACATTARSWTCAATTTTCCTTACTTGCAAATGRTTCATGGAAATCWAGTCCTGCTTCAGCTAGTTCTTTTGAAGATGATTTTGGCTGCTCAGTTTGATGTGATTGTTCTTTCATTTGAGCATTACTTTCAAAGTTAAAAGTCATACCACTAAATAACGACAATCCTTCG